AGAGTAAAAAGGAATGAATGATGTCAGTTTCTTTAGATCACCGGATAGGAACCCCCATCCTGGTAGAAATAATTGTGAATGAGAAAGACATTAAATGTTGGCATAGGGACTGGTGGAATGACGGCACTCTTTAAGGGGTTAGGTTTTTCAAATTCTAGATATATACTTCACAAAATGAATGTGAATGAGTATGGTTATCACATATGCTCCTATGGGTACACTGGCAAGTATTGGTGTTTGAGTACTTTATTCTCAAAAGCATAAGATTTCCACAACAGCTGACATGCTAAAAAGCCATAAAGAATCTAACCTTTTTCCAGAAAGTATTATTTCAATTTGCTCTGGCTTCCCAATCAAAGAACATTAAGCAACCAAGGGGACAGTTATTCTACCTTTGCTAGGCTATCCCTCACTGCAAAGTGATCATGTGCCTTTGAAACCGTTCTGTTGCCAATGTTAGGATCCACAAACCACAGGTTACAATATTGCATTCCATATAATCCGGGAACAGATACCACTAACCTCAAGACCCTCCATTCTTAAAACCATTTAACCTAAGTCTAAGTCAATGCAGTATCAATCATTTACAATCAATGGTTTACATTTAAAATGTATTGTTTTTAACCCAGCATATTAAATATATACCTATAAACCAATTGTGTAATAGAAACATTAATACAGAAATCTCAGTCATTAACAAAAATAATTAAATAAAGCATAGAAAAGAAAGAAAAGAAAACAGTTTTTCTCAAAAATAATGATCACTTCTTTCAACTGTAATCCATTCTCAGAAAACAAATGACTCATTATACACAGCATTAATTGTATGTTAAAAGCATCAGTCATCTGTGCACAAAGGATCGTTTTACTAATCGGACAGAACCTGAGAAAACTGGAGACAGTTTGAAATAGTTCACTGACAAATAAAAAGATGAGCAACAGTCAATATTTGCCCAGATTACTGATTCACCTTCTTGATTGCCTTGTCCAATTTAGTAAGAGGTTTTTCTTCCTCTTTCAAACACTTGGCTATAGAGAAAAACAAATACTAAGAGTGAAAGATAACACTTTGGTACGAATTCTCATTTTATGACACTCATGTAGTCATTATAATGGAATGACCTTCCTTTGCTCCTTAACAAAGAGTAAAAAAGTCCAAATTAAGACACCAGGATAAGAGGAGATCATCATGTAGATATATAGCAGTTCTGGTTCTTTGAAGATTCATAAGATTTTATCAGTCTCTAAATCATTTATGTGTTTGAACAATTGAGTCATTTGTTCAGAATGTGTAGAGTTTAACAAGTTGAATTTTGTCCATTAATGATTAATAGATCTGTTAAAAAAGGGGGATTGTAGTGAGCACTGATACTGTTATCTGTTCCAGTTGATTATGGGAAAAAAAAGAGTAGTATTCATTACAGAAGGTATTTCTTTTACTAAATAGTTTAAGATTTTGTGATCAAGTTTTTGAACTTCAATACGTTTTTTTGGTTTATAAAATAAATTGAAATCTGTCAAGATAATTCAGTTTAAACATATGTTAGCAAATAATTACTTTGGAAATGTAGTACAGCAGATTATGTCAAAGAGAGATTCTAAAGTATTAATTAAAATGTAAAACATTTTTTATGATGCTGAAAATGCTGTTTGGCAATGTGAGGCAAAACTAAAAGAAACATTTACTGAAATTCGTAAGATTTAACTAACTTAATAAAACAAACAAAAAAAATAGAAATATTTGAGCACTGCAAATGTTTAAAATCCACAGGAGGTTACGGGAACTAACTTATTACCAAGGGATATTTTAACAAAGAGTTGGTATAAATTGAAAATGTATCAAACAAATACTTGAATGGCAGGGAGGAAGCATTGCTCCTCATTCTGATATAGCTACAACATTATTTACCATAGGTCTTATAGATCTATCAGTTTGAACAATATTTAATGGATAATCCTCCACTCCTACTATTTCTTTTGGAGAATACCTAAACTGTTTTATATCCCATTATGATATATTGATTTTCGGAGGTGGACTATAGATGCAGCAATACTTGAAAAACGTAGCAAAGTTAGATGGTCATGAGAGAGGGTGTAACATCATAAACTATACTGGAGCTGTTATGATACTTAGTATGTTCCTTCCATTAACCTCTTGTCTCACAGAATGGTACATAATTGTACTAACATTTGGTTCAGATTGAAAAGCAATGCAACATTGTACTGTAACCTCTAATAGCATCCAACATTAGATACATCCTACTGCTCATCAGAATTGGATACAGATGAGCCACAACTTTAAAAACACCTGCCAAATATTGTGTAGGTCCCCCTCATGCTGCCAAAATAGCTCTAAAGTGTCGAGGCATGGATTCCACAAGACATCTGAATGTGTCTTGAGGTATTTGGTACAAATACATTAGCAGCAGATCCTTTAAGTTTTGCAAGTTGCATGGTGGGGCCTCCATGGAATCCGATTTGTTATTTCATCACATTAAACAGATGCTCAATAGGACTGCGATTTGGGGAATTTGGATGTCAAGGCACCACCTCTAACTCATTGTCATATTTATGTGGCAGGGTGCATTGTCCTGGCATGTTGTCTGCAACAATCTCTAGGTAGGTGGTACATATCAAAGTAAGTTCCACATGAAAGCCAGGACCCAAGGTTTCCCAGCAGAACATTTCCCAGAGCATAACACTGCATTCGCCGGCCTGCCTTTTCCCATAGTACATCCTGCTGCTATATCTTCCCCAGGTAAACAAAACACGTACCGGGCCATCCACCAGATCTAAAATAAAATGTGAGTGATCAGACCAGACAACCTTCTTCCATTGCTTAATGGTCCAGTTCTGTCATGCATGTCGACATTGAAGATGCTTTGGGTGGTAGACAGGGCTCATCATGGGCATGCTCACTGGTCTGTGGCTACACAGCCCCATATGCAGCAAACTAAACTGCACTGTGTGTTCTGATACCTTTCTATCATGGCCAGCATTATCAGCAATTTGAGCTAAAGTAGCTCTTCTGTGTGATGAGACCAGACAGGCTACTTTTCTCATCAATGAGCTTTGGTTATCCATGATCCTGACATTGGTTAGCCAGTTGTCCTTCCTTGTACCACTTGTAGTAGTTACTAACCACTGCATACCAGGAACCCCACAAGACTTTACGTTTTGGAGATGCACTGACCCAGTCATCTAGCCATCACTAAGAGTACCAACCACCTAAAATAAACCAAAAAAGTGGAGCGCTGAAATAATAAATACTTACCCCTAGTAATAGGGGTATTGTATCTTGGAGCTCAAAGTATACAGGGAAGAAAAAAGAAGGGGGGGGGAGAGAGAAAATAATCCAACGGTGGAGTATATAAAAATTCAGTGATTGAAAAAAAATATATAGGGATCAACTCACAAATAAAGAGCCAAGCAAGGCCTGACTCAAATCTTGTTCACTTTGGTGCACTTCAGGAGACACCTTCCTTCTTTAGCCTCTTCCTTAATTTCTCAGAATATGAAGAGACAGAAAGAGATCTCTAAGGTAGTATGCACAGGCCAGCCACGTATAAAAGAAAAATAGTAGATGTTAATTGCTCACCTTGTCAAGAGCCCATGAAATATACCTGGCTCTCGGTTAAGTAGCTTTAACCCACTAAGGGGGGGGTTACCTTCTTTTAGGAGATAGATAGCAGCAGACTTAGGACTATATTCAAGATCCAATAGATCAATTTATTACAAATAAAAAATATTACAAAAAGTAATTCAACATATAAATTACAAAATAACAAATAGTATGAAGTCCTTTCTGCCAGAATGATCTTCGAGACGCGTTTCACCGTTATATCGAGTTTTTCATTTGAAGTGATCTTCAGTTTTCTCCCTCCTTCAATTGAAAAAGCCAATATAACGGCGAAACGTGTTTCGAGGATCATTCTGGCAGAAAGGACTTCATACTTTTTTGTTGCTAAATCGTACATTTGGGGTGTGCACTTTATATCTGGTGTATGTGTGCAACACTGGCTAGTTACTGCTTCTCAAGAAAGTCTAAAGACAAATAAATGTTGCCTTTGGTGCAGGTAGTATAGAAGGCAAGACTGAGACAAATCATTTGGGTTACGTTTGCCTGTTGACATGTTAATTATCTTAGACCATTAAAATTCAATAATCAATGAAAAAACACAATAAGTGTCATACAAAAATATGTATTATAGACAAGTTAAAAACAAGACTACAAGTCATGCTATAACAAAATTAAACAAGTTTTAAAATATGTATGGGTCAACCAGTGGCTGTAAAAGCAAAGTTTTACTGGTTACATTCATGACTACTCTAGTGAACAGGACCTTCATGTAGTGTGTTCTTTTTTAAAAAAAATCATACAGCATCCTTTCATGTGCAGACCGGCAAGGAGGGCAGGGTTGAGGAGTGGGTGGAAGATGATGTGGAGGATGATGAGGTCCTAGACCCCACATGGAATGAAGGTCATGCGAGTGACGTGTGCAGTCTGGAGGAAGAGGCGGTGTTCGCACAGAGGCACCAGCGCAGCATAAGAGGGAGCAGGGTGCAAAAGCGGAGCGGCCGTCCCCTAGCGCTCGTCAGCATGTATTAACTCTAGAATTACCACAGTTATCCAAGTAACAGATGGAGCGATCAAACGAAACATAAACGATTTAATGAGCCATTCGCAGTTTTACTGTAGAGGTTGTGCACGCTTTCGGCATTCTCACCCTGCTGCTGCCCGCCTGTCTGCGCTGCAGTGTAACTTCGGCCTTCCCCGCCCACCGCCTCATATGCGATGTGCCCACAAGGTGGAACTCCACCTTGTACATGCTGGAGAGACTGTGCGAGCAGCAGCAGGCGATAGTGGAGTTTCAGCTGCAGCATGCACGGGTCATTCGCTCTGCACCAGACTTGCCCTCCAATAGATCCTCGTTAAAGAATTTAAAGTGTACCTATTCAAATTACAGGGCCTCGAAAGAGTTCTGTATTGTTATTTATCATCACTATCTCCACGCGTCGGGAGTGGGTAATTTGCACGCCTGCTGCCTTCCTTGGATGTGGTAGCCGTTTCTCTGGCTCCCTCTCCGGAATCAACCCTTATTTCCCCGTTACCCGTGGTCACCATGGTAGGCGCAGAAAGTACCATAGAAAGTTGATAGGGCAGACATCTAAATGCGTTGTCGCCATCATGGGGACGTGCTAACGGCCTGAAGTTTTCTAGAGTCACCAAAGTGCCTGCGCAACGACTGCCGAGTTGCCCACATTCTAACTTGTGCTGATTACTGGGTGGCTACCCTGCTGGATCCCCGTTACAAGGACAACGTGCCATCCTTAATTCCCTCACTGGAGCGTGATCGGAAGATGCGCGACTACAAGCGCACACTGGTAGACGCGCTGCTGAGGGCATTCCCAACTGACACCAGGGGCTTAGTGGAAGCACAAGGTGAAGGCAGAGGAGGAGGAAGAGGTCACCAACACAGCTGGGGCACCGCCAGCACCTCACAAGGCAGGGTTAGCATGGTCGAAATGTGGAAAAGCTTTGCCAGCACGCCACAACAACCAGCACAACCAGCTGATATGGAACGTCTTAGCAGGAGGCAGCATTTCAGCAACATGGTGGAACAGTACATGTGCACACGCCTACACATACTGACTGATGGGTCTGCCCCATTCAACTTCTGGGTCTCCAAATTGGGCACATGGCCTGAGCTTGCTAAAAAAACAGTGTTGGCTACCTCCTCCACCGCCGCTTCCACCTACACCGCCGCGGTCACTGCTTGCTCCTCAACCTATGGGTCACTAAGTATAAACTAGGTACACAATAGCAGAGGCTTGTGAAGGCCTTTTCTCCATGCATCAGGAGTTGAGCTCAGTTTGAACAATGAAAGAGAATACCCTGCACTCCAACCCTCTCTCAAATGGATAATTCTGGTGATCCTCCTGACAGCCATGCTTTAGATTTTGATTTACGTTCTTCCAAAGGTAAAATCAAAGATTCCATCTAGCGCTATTTTATGGCTCAGCTGTATTTTTAATTTCTATGTATTTTATGTTATTTCAAGTGATTTCCCTATCCACATTTGTTTGCAGGGCACTTGTCCTACTCTTACCCCCATTTTACTTCCTTTTGCAGCCCTCTAGCCCTTTCCCAGACTTTTGTAGAGGCATTTTAGTGTAAAGAAACAAAAGCCTGAAAGAAAACAAAAGCTCAGTATTGCAAACTTTTATGACAAACTTGTAACGGTGAAGGTGTTTTATCATTTAAAGTCTCATTTAAAAGAATAAAGGTATGCTGAGATTCTGCAATATAATCAAGAGCTATTAAATCATGAGAAAATAGAGTTTCATTTCCAGAAATGAAAATATCTCCACCTCTGTTGACCTCAATAACAATTTCAAATCTGGAAGTACTACTTTAAACACATTAATTTCTAGGTTACTTCTTTTTTTAGTTTTAACTTACAAAATAAACACACAAATAGAAAATTATTAGATACAATCTTTCTTTTTTGTCCAAATACATACATTGCTATTATACACTGATAGAGTTTTTATAGAGTTTTGTAACAAGGGTTTGTTCAGCGCACTGTAGGAAATTAACTACAAACTGAAAATTATCCTACGCGGGTGAGATTTAATCTTAGCAATTTTGACTTTCTTCTATGAATTACCCGCAATATATTGTTTAGTTTGTCAATCCCGTAGACCGATTAAATTTTGTTTGTGAAATACAAAAAAAAATGCATACATTTAATTTACACAGGACAAGGCCAATTATGGTCTTATGTGGTATTTTTTTTTCTGGAGTGTGTTTTTGATGCCCACGGTTACTTTTTAGGTAGATCACTTATTTCCAATTGTTGCTAAATTTAGTGATACATTTAGTGAAAACTCCTTAGATTTGTCCACATGCCTATTGTATTATTGATATGAATTTCAAAGGCTTTGTATTATTATTATTATTATTATATTTATATAGCACCAATAAATTCCATAGCGCTTTACAATGAGTGGACTAACAAACATGTGATTGTAACCAGACAAGTTTGATACACAGCAACAGAGGGGTTGAGGGCCCTGCTCAATGAGCTTACATGCTAGAGGGAGTGGGGTAAAGTGACACAAAAGGTAAGGGAAGTATTAGGGAAGTAGATTGGCCAAATTTGTGCAAAGTTAAACAGTCAAAAGTACTTTTGTTAGGTCCATATTCATATTCATTTATATAACAGAAACAAAGCATCTTAATTTCAACTTCTCCCTGCAACTTTAAGGTACTCATAAAGAAGTCTGTGATTGGTCTGTTTTGCAAGCTCAGAGAGTCTGCAAAGGGAGGAAAGGGGGATGGTTTTAAAAATCATGTAAAATACTGAGGGCAATGTAGAGATGTGGGAGGGAGGACACAGTGGGAGAGAGGAAAAGGGAAGCAATCTTCCCCTTGCAAGAGCTCTGTCGGCAAGGGAGAAGATTTCCATGTCTGTTCAAATCACTGAAGTAACCCTGGAGTAACCTTTAAATAAATAGACTTGCATGTCACCTTTTGGGACAGTATCACAATACTTTAATAAATGGCCTAAACACTTTAAGGGAATTTTTGATGACTTAATAATGGAACGGATTCCAGGATTTTTTGTTGAGGGATGGGAAATATTAGAGACCATAGAGGTCTCTCACAATCCTGTTTAATGCAGTCATTAGACGTGCAATTCATTGAATTCTTAATGTAAATTCATTTGGAAGAGTCTTTATTTCAGAATCATGTACAAAATGAAATAAACCAAACATGAATGAATTTGGAACACATCGAAATCAATTATTTTTATTCATTCATTTTTCATTAGGGTAGCAAATTATGGACTAAAAACAGCAACATTAAGAAAAAGAGCTTTCAACTGTTCAATAGATAGCTCTCTATTTTGGTACCCTTATGGGGTATTGCCAGGACTAAGTTAGTGATTATGACTTTGTATGGCCAAAATGCTATGATCCCTACATATCATATAGTTACATAGCTGAAAAGAGACTTGCGTCAAGTTCAGTCTTTCTCATATATGTTTTTGCTGTTGATCCCTAGACCTAGAAAGATAACTATTAGCTAGACATTTTGATGCAGGAAGAAGCATGAATGTCTTATTGTGTGGACTTCTATTCACTGGGAATTTCTTACTGGGTGATTTGAAGAGGGATGGCATTGCATCGTGTGCTGTGTTTGTTTTAGTTATTGTATGGTACTTTGGGAATGGATCTGTGTTTGTATGGACATTCAATAGGTATTAAGTCTCTTTCTGTCATTATATGAGTCATCTATTGTTCTTTCCTAAGTCAGGATATTTGCTGATAAGGAGCTCCTACAAGATGTGATTTACTTCCTTAGTTGAACAGCTGGCCTGGTCTGGTCGAGAAGGGGTGATGACCATAGCAGCAACCACTATAGGTTGGAACCCATTAATCATGACAACCAGAATACATACAAATCAAGGAAAAGAACAAGTGTATTATTAAATGCAATAAACACAATAGGATCAAATACAAAGCAGATAACTCAATAAGAAAAGGGATCAGGGCCTTTGGATTCAGGGCTTTGGATACAGGGAGCAGGACCTCAGGATACAGGGAGCAGGACCTCAGGATACAGGGAGCATGACCTCTGGATACAGGCAGCAGGGCCTCTGGATACAGGGATCAGGGCCTTTGGATACAGGGATCAGGGTCTCTGGATACAGGGGGCAGAGCCTCTGGATACAGGGGGCAGAGCCTCTGGATACAGGGATCAGAGCTAAAGAGGAAAGCAGTTTTCTCTGGAACACCGGGGGTTTGAACAGGAAAGAAACTTGCTCTTGGACACTGAGGGTAACAGGATAGCAGCAAGCTCTGGAACACAGAAGGTTACACAGGGACCAGACCAAAAACAATATGAATACACTGTCAAACAAAAAGGGGTTGAGTCTTAACTAAATATGGAGGAAAATAATTACAAACTAGGGCAAGCTGAAAACAGTCAGGGTGCAGCAGCCTACTACAACACAAAAGAAAGTTTTTTCACTGTGCGGTACTGTATCAGACTGATGAGAGAAAACAGAATCAGAGACAAAAACGCATTGTATGTTTATGCATGACTTACTATTATATGGTAAGTGTGGCAAACCTAGCCACTTGGACAAAACAGAGAGAATATGGCTTTAAGGGTTGCCTGTATATTTCTTACAACATTATATTACCTGGCTGTAATTTACTGTAAACCGTATGTTGTATTGCCTGTATGGGCTATCTGCCGAAAGCAGATAGCTGTATTCTATTTCGTTTCACGAACAGCGCCTTTGCGGGCTGTTCGTGAACTGAATAAACTATCCTGTAATAGCCCACACACTAAGAGACGTGTGGCGCTTGTTAACCGAACAATGTTGCAATCGGTAATTAGAGGCTCTCCTAGGTGGCCGTCGTTCGACTACCGACCACGCGGCGGTCGGCCATCTTGGATCCTTTGTTCCTCCAGGGGTGTTTGGTCGTCGAGCGCGTGGTACTGAAAACGGCTACTCAACGGCACGAACACCGCTGGACTTCCAGGCCGTTCGGGAGTTCCGGGCTTTTCGGTATTTTACTCCCCGTATGCCAATCGGTCTTTTGAATGTATGTTTTGATGAATATGTTTTTCGTGCGGCATTCGGTTGTTTTAGCTGGGATTTGAGCAGTAATCTCACGAACTATGTGCTCAGACCCCAGCTATCTACCGAACGTCCGTTCGTGTAAATCAACCCAATATTGAGAAAGTTATACATTTTAATGTGAAATGCCGGTTCTGCTGCACGGAGGGATAATCCACTTAACGGTACATTCCAGTGGGAGGATCCCTCTCGTGCAGCAGTGCCTGATGGGAGAAATGCCCTGTACATTAAGTTTCCCATGTAGTCCACTCCTGTAATACCCCTGTGATGTGACTCAGGAAACCCCTTGCATGGGGAATTGTATAAATACTGGAGCATGTGAATAAAGACCTCAGTTGACTCCTAGAACTGTGTTTCGTCCGGTTACTGGGGGATTTGGGATATTGCCTTACTTTTCAGCGCTTGACTGTGGATTACCTTCTTAACCAGCGGAGATCGTGGGATTTAATATTGCCGCTCCGCTACAGTAAGTGAGTTTTCTGGTATAAATATGCGTGTGTTTCCTCAATAAAGGCAATCCTAATTTCACCCACAACCGTGACTTGACTGGTTCTTTGGTGGAACTGCATTTCCCTGCATCAAGCCTAAGGCTGATTTCTGGGTATTAAGGCGATACACTGCGATAAAGACTATAATCAC